CAGGGCCCCACACCCTGAGACATCCCCTGGCAAATGATACTACTTTTCTATTTAAGTAGTGATGTATCATTTTCTTTTTAAAGTTTATTTCAGTTAAAAAATGAATTAAGTTACTGTAAACTTCAGCACGGGTGGTGCTCAGGGATCCAATAGTAAAGTAGGGATCCCGTACATCAGAGTGGTTGTTGGGGGCTTATGAGCAGGCACTTTGCTACACTCTTGACAAGGCTCACTGCAGTTAATCCTCGCGGAAGTCAGGCCATGGGAGAAAGCAGCACCTCCCTGCTCAGTGTCCTTTAGCAACTACAGATCAGTGGCACTCCAAGGCAGTGTGCAGCACTGGGTGGGAAGGGCAACACCCCCACCCCAACAGAGAGTGCAAGGTGGTACAGCTTCTTTTTGTAGTACCCTGCAGGAGTTCACCAGTTCACCCTGCCCAATTTGGAAAGGAAGGCATCCTCCAGAGAATGAAAGGAGAGCCCCATCCTCCTCACTCAGCAGAGCAGCTGGAGATAGCAGAGGGGCTGGGGCTACATGTGTGTCCATGTGGTCAGGGTGAGGCTTTTGCTGGGGACTGTTTCTTGGGTCTGGTCCATGCCCTGAACATAGGGTATCCCACAACTGGGGCAGACACCCTACACCCAGGAGGAGAACAGCAGACCACATGGTGGTGAGAACCCAGAGTATACAGCTGGCCAAACCCCAGGTCAGATGCACGAGCTGGACCCTGGAGCGGCAGTGTTGGCTGAGAACGCACTGTACCAAGACCTTGTGCCCTGAGACATTGCCACTCCAGCCACAGCCTCCTGCCCACCCAAGTGATAAGGTGAACCTCATCAGAAAATGCAGACAGTGATTCTGACTGTGTCCCCAAAGCAGGGAGGCTCCAAAGAGACCCATCCACACCCAAACTTGGAAACTCCTGCCCTGACTCAGGATGAGTAATTGAAAAGAAAACAACATGGGCAATAAGCAAAGATTAGTAAAATTTCTTTAACAACTCATCAGAGATAGCTAAAGAGCATACTTCTAAGGAACTCTTAGACCTAGCAACTACACTGCACAAGGAAATTACGCAAAGAAGTTCTTGCAAAGAAAACATAGATTCTAGGAAACAAACGAATATGAGAAGTTAAGAGAATAGAAACTGAAGAAAATGTAACAGAGTTCAGAAAATAATGTAAAGAAACAATGTCACAATAGATGTGAAAAAAATTGAAGAAGGAAATGGATATGGAGCCAGTTAATAGAGATCCAACATACGGATAACTCGTGTACCCAAGAAGAGATCAGAACAAATGGAACAGTAAAAAATAAATAAATAAATACATAAAGCTGTGGCACGGCTCTGCTGTGGACGGCACACCTGCTGAAATTGGGCTTTTCTTATTTGAGCCCCCCAATTTTTGTGTGAGCTTACAGAAATAACAATTTGGGTTTTTTGGGTTTTGTTTTTTAATTGAGAGGAAGTCATGGTGAAAATAAAGAAAAAGAATAACAGAAAAGGTTTTAAAAGATGTAATAGGAGAAATCTTTCCTGAACTGAAGAAAAACTTGAATTGGAGATCCAAAGGACCACTGAATAATAGTCAATACTTATGAAGAGCATCCGACATCTAGACACATCCCATGGGATTATCGAATCTCAAGGGCAATAGGAATATTTCTATTATCTAGAGTGAGTGGGGATGGGGGTTACTTGTCCAGAAAAACTGTCAGGCTGGTCTTAGAACTTTCTTTCATGTTACTCATTTATCAGCTGTATATTGAGAAAATGCAGTGGAGACTGAGGCAGCCACATCCCCCACCCTCTCAGGGTCGGCCAGGGGTCCCACCTGTGCAGTGGGGTGTGTGGCTGGTTACTCATTTATCAGCTGTATATTGAGAAAATGCAGTGGAGACTGAGGCAGACACATCCCCCACCCTCTCAGGGTCGGCCAGGGGTCCCACCTGTGCAGTGGGGTGTGTGGCTGGTGCTTGAGGAGCGGGGAGCGGCTGCAGCAGGCAAACCCAGCTAAAGAGCCACGCTCACAGCCACCCTGGAATACAGAGAAGCCCAGGAGTGCCAGAATTTCTGGGTTTCCCCCCAAGAAAACAAGGATTTTAAAGTGAAAACTCAAAATTTTTAAACTGAAATATTTTGGGGTCAAGCACCTCTGTGGACCATTTGCTTGTGTCCTCTTTGAGCCTAAAGCCTATTGGGAATGCCTAGAATCATTTCTGGATAATGAAACTTTAATCATCCCCCATTTGATATAAATGTCAACGCCTACTTGAAATATTGTAGACCGCAGTAAGAGCTTTATGCGTGGTCAGGCTGATGGATGCTTGTTACTGAAAGAGAAATATGCATTTTCTTGAGTTTAAACTGTAGTCGTCGTGGACATCAGCTGCAATCACTGTAAATGAAGCTTGCTCTTACCAGAAGTCTTCATATGAGCGGAACTGGCAGAGAGTTTTCAAGCTGTCAAATTATCTTCCTCTGCATCTGACTTCATTCCTTAATAACATTTCTTTCTTGACTAAACGTTTCTTTCAGAATTTGTTGTCATCCATAATGGGATCATCACAAACTACAAAGATCTGAGGAAATTTCTGGTAAGATACTTCCCTTGGGTAACATCAAAGCTGAGTGGTATTTGTCTTCCCCAGAAACCTCCCAACCAGCTCATTTCCCTGTGGAAACAGAGGCAGGAGCCGCGTGACTCCACTCTCAGCCACAACACTGAGGCCGGAGCCTCTGCGCCAGCTAAGCCAGCCTCCCAGACCTTGTTTTGAGATACCAGGGCTTTAGCGTTTATCCCAAGGGCCACTGCAGATTCACAGAATCGAAATATCATGAACTTAGTTTTATTAAAATATCTGTACTATGTAACACATGGACTCATACACCAAATGGAATGTGGGGTGGGTAGTGAAATGGTGAGTGTCTGAAGTTTGAAGAGATTGTGCGGTGTTGGTTGGGATGTGGGTGGCTTTGACTCAACATATTTTATCATTTTGACTGCTGTTATTTTGCAATGTCCAGATTAATGGCAAGGACAAGCTTCTGAGGAGGGATGATCTCAGGGAATACTGGAATGAGTCAGAAGTATTTGGCTTTGTGATTCTGGCAAACATTTCTCATCCCTTCCCAGTTTTCCTTGTTCTCTCCTTAAGTCACTCCAAGAGCAAATCATAAGGGAGGAGAGAGGAAGTCTGCCAGGCCAGCATTGCACAATGACCATTATCTGACACTGTGTCCAACCACATATTCCAGGAAAGCAAAGGCTATGAGTTTGAGTCAGAAACAGATACAGAGACCATCGCCAAGCTGATCAAATACATCTTTGACAACAGGGAAACTGAGGACATTACATTTTCAACTCTGGTTGAGAGAGTCATTCAGCAGTTGGTGAGTTACAAGTCCCCTCTGCCTAAATCACTCCTTCATTCCTTCATTTTTCTTAAGCACTTATTAGGCAAATTTGTACAAAGTACGGAGGATAAAAGATGGCTCATCTACAGCCATCTGGCCTTAAGATGTTGCATCCTTGTAGACTTGGGATAAGTTGTGCGGTAAACATCCATTAGAAAGCTCCTTGCTTCATTTTAACAGCTCTGGAATTGTGTGACTGGCCTTACAGTCTATGACTTCTGACAATGCACATGTGAATGTGGTGATGGTCTGTTGTGCAGGAGAGGGTTGAGGTTCCAAGGGAGGATGTTGTTTCTGTGATAGGAGATATGAGAGCATGTCTGCATGCTGAAGGGAATGACCCAGGAGAGGGAGAGATTGTGATGTACCAGAGGGCAGGGTCCAAGGAGGAAAGGCCCTGAGAAGGCCAGTGCGCCCTGGGGGATTGTGCAAGGAGAGGCTTTTCTTGGAGGAGGCGGTGGAGCAGACAGCCTAAATGGGATGGGGAGGAGGAGGGAGGGCTCCAGACATCCCAGAGCCCAACCTCACGGCGTCATTGTCGTCCAATAGCTCCTCCAAGGCCATGGGCACCTGGGGACAGTGCTCAGGGCCAAGAATCCGTAACATTCTGGTCAAAAGCTGCTGTGGGCACCACATTGTGGTTTAAAATATGTCATCCTTGAGTGGGTATTTTCAGAGTCTTTTTTTTTTTTTCCTTTTTTTTTGTCTTTTTTCGTGACCGGCAACGGATCGCAACCCTNTGGGCACCACATTGTGGTTTAAAATATGTCATCCTTGAGTGGGTATTTTCAGAGTCTTTTTTTTTTTTTTCCTTTTTTTTTGTCTTTTTTCGTGACCGGCAACGGATCGCAACCCTCGGTGTTGCACCCGCACCTCGCTCAGCCAGTGAGCGGCCGGTCTGTATGTGGGATCCGAACCCTCGGTGGGAGCGCCACCGCGCTCCCAAGCGGCGCACTGTAGCAGTGCGCCACTGGGCTGGCCCCAGAGTCTTTTTTAAAAAGCAAATCTACTGTTGAAACCATTTATCCTATGACTCCCATTTTGGGGAATCTGTAATTTAGAGGACATATTTATAAATAAGAGCCTATCCCATACTTTGTGTACAGCAAACCACTACTGTATAATGTACAGTAAACCAATTTTGTATTTCTTCTTTTCCATTTGTAATTTTAAGTTTTGAAAATATCACCCCAGTAATGGCACTTTTAAACTTCTGTGACTTTTCTTACCTGAAGCTATACTGGGCTCTTTTTGGCGGAGAACATAAAGTGTTTTTCTATTCAGTCGTACTTCACTGTTGACAAAAGCAGCAGGGTCTGTCTGAAGCTCCTTCTTTTGGGCAGTTTGAAAGGCCCTTTTTGAGGCCTGGGGACACTGACGCTGGGTCCCTCCAGCTGTGCAGGTGCGTTGGCAAAAGTGGGCACAACATATGGCCACACAGGGCCTTGGGCTGCCCAAGGTACCAAAATGGGGGATTTCACATGGAAATTCAGATTTACAGCCAGTTGTATATAACTGAGTTCTACTAGGGTTGAGGTAAATTAGTACAAGATGGTCAGAATGTCGAGGAGAATATAGCAAGAATTCAAGTAGAAAGAGCATTTCGAGTATTGAGTTAGGAGAACTCGATTCTAGTTCTGGCTTTGCACAAACCAACAAGCTAAGGCGCAGAGGTATGACAGTCATAGCCACAGAAACAGTAATAATAGCAAGAACAACTCATGCTTCCCTTGGATTCGCTGTATGCCGGGCATTGTTCTAAGCACGTCAGCACATTAGCTTATAGTCATCACAGAAGCCATACGAGGTGGGACTATTCTTATCTCCATCACAGATGAGGAAAATGAGGCACAAAGAAGTCTAAAGTGATTGCCCTGTTAAGGGATGGAGCCAAGATCTGAACCCAGGCTCTACTGTGGGCTGAGCTAAGTGCAGCCCCTTTAGCCCTCACAGGTGCTCCCTGAGAAGGCATCCCTGAGACCCAGTGCAGGGCACCCTGGCCTTGGCTCTAGTTTCCTGTGGCTCTGGTTTCCTAATTGCACCAGTCTACCTAACTCATCACAGAGCTGGGCATCCCTGACGGGTTCCTTCTGGGCCTGGGCAGGTGTGCTTTATGTTGCTGATGGTGAAATTCTCAATTCTGGTCTTTGGTACTTCAGCGTGGTATTGTCTGTTTCACTTTCCCTCCTGATGTCACCCTACATGAGCTGTTCCTGTCTTGGGCTCCCTGAGTGACCCCAGGACTTCCTGCCATGAAGAGGGGCCCAGGGAGACCCTGCTGGGGCCTTGGGCCAGGCTGCAGCACTTGGCTAGCCAGAACGAGCGTTCATCACTCTTTTTTCATGTTTTCAGGAAGGTGCATTCGCGTTGGTGTTCAAGAGCATCCACTACCCGGGAGAAGCCGTTGCCACAAGGTGAAACAAAACACATTGATTTTCCAATAACAAACAAATAAATAAAATAAAATCATTTATCTTGGGGCACGAGGCAGGAGTAGGGCCTCTGACAAACTAGAAGTTGCTTGCTGTGTCTGAGGGACAACTGTGGCTTAGCCCCAGAGACTGTACTGCACCGTCTGTATGACAGTGGTACTACAGCTTCTGATTTTTAAAAAGAGAAATCAGAAAGTTAGATTTCTATTTGAAATCTCCAGATTTTCAGAGGTTGACAACAAATTCAAATTCAAAATTAAACTGTATAGAAAGGGCAGATCCAGGTTTTGTGGGGCTTGAAGCCTACACAATTTGCGGGACCTCCTTTAAGAAAAAGCATGCAAACTTATGAACACAAAACTAGGTGTCCAAGTGAACATTGATTTTGATCCAGTACAGAAGAGGCCTTGAAGGCTCAGAGCTCAAACTTCTTCACCTTCGCAGAAGCAATGTCCCAGGAATCAGCCCAGAGGTCCTGGTTCAGTCCACATGTCGATCTGTGGTCCTGGTTCAGTCCACATGTCCATCTGTGGTCCTGGTTCAGTCCACATGTCCATGGCCCCTGGTGCTGTGTAGATTCACTGAAGAGGATAACGTGCCATCCTGTGATCTTATATTCATCCATCCATCCATCCATTTACCCATCAGTTTATATTTGTTGAGCACTTATTGTGTACTGGGTCCTGGGACCTAACGACACCCAACCTGATCCCTGCCCTTAAGGACTGGACAGGTGTGCAGGAGGACAGAGAAGGGCAGAGGATGGTGATGCTCTGTGATGGGGGCTGGGAAGGCCACTGCACCAGGGGCATAAGGGGGAGCAGGTGTCAGCTTGGGGAAAGTGGGCAGTGGGAAAAGTGTTCCAGACAGAGGAACCATCGTGAGCAAAGGCAAAGGGCCCAGAGAGAATGTGGCACTTCCAGCATCCCTGCTTGGCCAGGGTGGCAGCAAGGTAGAAGGGCACTGGTGGGACTTGAGGCTCTTCCATTCTCAGTGTGCACTTCCTGACACCTGCTGTGTCCCAGCCATGGGGGACAGCAGTGAACAAGGTAGTGCAGACACTGCCCCATGAACCTCACAGGCTGGTGGGGAGCAGAGGTGTGGACAGAGGTCCAGCTCTAAAGGGCCTCAGTGCTCTGCAGGCTGCAGACTCCATTCTGAAGCCATTGGGGAGTCATCAAGAATGCACATGTGGCCCTGGGAGACTGAAAGGGTAAGACTGTTCCTCACAGACTGTTCCCCACGAGGCAGAGAATGATATGAATTTATCATGATTTTATTATTTCCAAGACTGGAACTAATGAACCATTTGGAATTCATCCCTTCAAATCATAGAATTAAATATAACATACCAGTTGGTTCCTGTCAAATTTAGAAGCCCCTTTTTAAACCTGATATTATCATATTATTACCACTTAAAATGAATGCAGAAGAAAGCAATAAAGCTTTAATTTTTTTTTAATTGCCTGTAACTGATGGCTCTGTAACCTCCAGGACAATCTTTGGATATCTTGGGAGAACTACATGTTTCAAAGTCTAGAGAAACCACAGAGCTCAATCTACACAATAAAATCTGGGGGAGCCATTTGCCAAGAAAACTAGACAACTGCATACTTTCTCACTGTCATCATTATAAAGACTATTTAAGGTAGTTCCCCACTGGACCCAGAACTATGTCTCTGATTTGCTTTAGACAAAATAAAAGATTGTCCAAAATATTCAAGGTGCTCACTGTGCCTTCTTCAAAGCCACAAACTTGTCCCCCACTTTGAGAAGTCAGAATTGGGGTCCAAACAGGTCAACACTACCGGTCTGTCATTGTTGAACAAACATTTAGGGACTGTACTGAGTCAGGTTAACAGACCAGATGAATATTTGTGGACTTGATTTAGGCTGATTAACAAGTACTTCATTAGTTCATTGATCTAAGTTAGCAAAAAATTGATTGAGGTGAAATGTTACCCCATTTTATCGACTTAATGTGTTTGAGACAGCTCTCTTGCATTGTCTTATTACAACTTACTCAGTGTTTTCTTCTCATTAGTAAGTTAACATGTGTGGGTATAGCTGGTTGGGGGGTGGGAGGTGGGGGCAGGCACACATCTTTTGGTAACTATTGGAATTTTACCTGCCTGGCTTCGGACTAAGAATCACAGGTATGGAGTGTCCGAGTTACCAAAGTGAACTGCTTACCACTATGCACTGAAAATTTTATTTGTGTGATGTAATTTATAAGAATAAACAAAGAATTAGATTTGGGAGGGAAGATGTCATTAAAATCATGGAATAATACCTCAAACACATTCACCACCAGAAGTTGTGAGCCAGAAAGAAACATCAGTGAAGAGCTTTACTGAAGATTTCCTCTGAGATGCTCAGAGAGCTGGTGCCTGAAACGGACGCTGGGAGAGAAGAGCGGAGTGAGAGTCCCTCCTCCTGGCCACCTGCAGGAATTCCCCAAGACTCTGCCTTGTGAAGGCCACTGTCCTCTTTACTTTGAAGTCCACCTTGTACAGATCAAAGAGTCTAAGCTTCATCCATGAGGTGACACTTAGGTGGAAACAAAACCACCCCTGAAGGCACATTAAGCGGCTCACAAAGCAGAGAATACACGAAAGTCAGTTTGTTTAGTGTTACTAAAGCTGGAGAATAACTGGACTAGATGAAAGAGAGGAAAAAAAGGGAGTCTTTGAGCAGATCCTGGGTGCCGAGTGCCCCCACTTTAAAGACACATGGCGAATGGAGGCAGTGGAGGGTCAACATGCCGTCAGTGCTTCCTCTGCTCAGCCTCTGCGATCTGACCACGAGGGTTAGTCACACGTGGGGATTTACTGAACTGGAGGAGTCCCAGCTCCTGTGAAGATGGGGGCAAGACAGGTTACCAGGTTCATTGTGCAGGCAGGTGATGCCATGTTAGTGAGCTAGGATTTGTGTGCTCGCCTGTTGTTTGTTGCTCCCCACCTTGAGGACATCTTCCCGTAGTCAAGGCATCCATTCCGTGGCAGGAAAAGGGCTAGATTTGGGGATCCCACCTCAGATGCTAGGAGGTCACCCAGCCCTGGGGTGCGGAGGCAGTGGGTAACTTGATGCCTTCTTCTCCCTGCAGGAGAGGCAGTCCACTGCTCATCGGGGTGCGGAGCAAGTACAAACTCTCCACTGAACAGATCCCCATCTTATATAGGACGTGTAAGTTTCTCAAGAAGGACTTGACGGCACAGCTACGGACCACTGTCTCAGGACCTAGCAGCTGCTTTTATGTGGTCAACTCCTCTCTGAGGCTAGGATTCCTCCCTCTGACTGGGCCCAACCATTACGTGGCTCCAGGTCTAAAAGGTTTTCACGCAACTGAGACTTGGCTCCATCTTTTTTTTTTTTTTTAAGTTTTTTATTATGGATGTTTTCATACATAAAAGTAGAACAGTGTGCAGCTGCATTGTATAATGGCAACTGTGCCCTGATTTGAGTATTTCTTGGTTTGTTTTTGTTTGCATTATTCTCATACTGTAGCTGTTTAAATGCTCTTGCAACAGTACTGTGCTATTTGGGGATCTTTTACATGATTTGGCTGACGCAGCCAAAGCTAAAAATTGCAAATTTCTCCCACACATATTCAAAGAGTAAATTGGTTCTTTGCTGCACATTATGCAAACAAAATAGTCTGATGGGATTTGCAATCCATTCCCTCCTTTGCTAGGCAATATTGAGAATGTGAAGAATATCTGTAAGACAAGGGTGAAGAGACTGGACAGCTCCACCTGCCTCCATGCTGTGGGCAATAAAGCAGTGGAGTTCTTTTTTGCTTCAGATGCAAGGTAATTAAACCTTTTTACCTTTCTTTCCTGAGATTATATAATCGAAGAATGACTGCCTAAACACCTCCATTTCTTATTTATCCCTCCATTTGAGCTGTCTTCTTATGGCTCAGCAAGGGGTGGGGTCCAAGGCAGATTTCAGCCCTCGATGGCCCTTGTCCTGGAATCCTTGTTCAGTGTCCATCTGTGTACTGTTGTGGGCAGCCCTGGTGGCCAAAAGCCAGATCACTGATGGACATAATGTTTGGGGCCTGCATGAAATCATTGCCTTAGTTGCAACGTTTTAAAATTGGGAGATTTCATATGAAAATTTGGATTTCTAGCTTATCTAGAAAAACAGGCACATCTGGGTACACAGGGCTGTGCTCCCTCTGGCCCCAGTTGTCTGGGGCTGCTCCTTTTAGATGGGGCAAGTCTCTCCAGACCTCAATTGTTCCCACACCCCACCCTGTCTTTGCCTTGGGCCCGACCATTTGTAAAAGATAGAGTCAAGATTTAGGGGGTTTTGTCCCATTGATTCTAAAGTCTGTGTTCTCATCAATCCACAAAATAATTCTGAAATCTGAAAAATTCTGTTTCATACCCATTTTAGTACAAAAATTGTATATTCGTACACATACATACATACAGAGGGAGGGAGGGAGGGAGAGAGAGAGAGAGAAGAGAGAGAGAGGACAAAAACACTTTTCTGTTCTTTGAAGTAGAAAACCACTGTAAACACCAGTACTACCTCTTTGATCCAAGCCTTTATTATTTCTTTCATTCTGGATGGGTTTTCTCTTTCTCACCCGGCCTCTAACAGGACCTTGCTGTGAAGCAGGGAGGACACCAGGCCAGGGCTCCTGGGAAACAGGGAGTAATAAGAACCTAGAGCCTGGGCTGCTAGGCCTGTTTCAGCCCACAGCCAGCATCCTATTTAAAGCAGATAGACGAGGGCAGTGATTTCTCAAACTGTGTTCCTTAGAACACCACTGAAGCGAGAAGCTAATATTATTTCAGTAATTCTAATACACAGCATTATTGTATAGATTTTGGCATCTATAAGTGACATCTTCCCATTATAATTTGCTGGCGTTTTTATTTCTTAGAAGCATATAAAATCATTGTGACCTTAAAATCAATGGTATCTTATATTCAATGATATATGGTAGATGTTTCTAAAACAAGAAAAGGCAGGAATGCCTATACTTTAAAAATTTAACTGAAGGGCTATTAGAACTAGTCCTAACAGCTGGTCAAAGAATAAAGGTGTAGGAATCTTACGTCCCAGCAATAGCCACTAAGCTGTCAGTTGACTGGGGGAGGGACCATGTCTACCTTATTACCTCTCGTGTCTTCTCACATGATGGCACAGTAGACCCCCAGCAAACGTTTGTTGAACAAGAAAAGCAATACTAGTCACCAGGGTTGAAAAAAAAGTTTTAATTAAATTCCTTAGAATACATTTTAATAAAAGTATTTTAGAACCTGTTTGGAGAAGACTGCAAAGGTTTACCATAAGAAATAAGAGATTGGAATAAAGGGAGAGATTCCACATTCCATGGTAAGAAGAGTTCATATTATTTTAAAAAGTTAATAGGTATAAATTTCAAAGTTAATTTAACAATCAGAAGTTATTTTTTTAAAAGTTTGATTTTCCCCCAAATTAATCTGTAAATTCAGTGCTATAACTAAAATCCTCAA